TTTCGGGGAGCTGTCTACCTGATCGGAGGGGAATTTCGTGACGCTTATCGATGCCGAACACCGATGGGGGGATTGGCCTTGGGGTGGGATTGCCCGATGGCCATCGAGGTTGGCCACCCCTTAAGCTGTCAGTTGGGACTGCCGGGGTGGATTGGGAGTATCGACGGCAAGCGTCAGTCGACAATCTCACGCGCTTCCATCACTGTGAGCGTCGACGGCGTTCTGTGTTTTGGTGGTTGGTCGGGCGGATGCCGACCGAGTTTTGGCAACGGTGAGTGGTCGATGGGTTGGGCGTTGGCCTGAAAGTCACGACGGTGCTCGTCGATCGGAGATCTGAACGTCGGCTCTCGGAGCGCTTCGGCGGCGTTTGCTGTCGCGGTCGTCCCAGCGGGCGGCGTTGATTCGCGGATGGCCCTTGGGGGGAGGGGAGGGGAGGGGGGAGGGGAGGGAGGGGAGGGGGGGAGGGGAGGGAGGGGAGGGGAGGGGAGGGAGGGGAGGGGGAGGGGAGGGGAGGGGGGAGATGTGTTGAAAGGAACGAGAAACAGGTCATTCGAATGCCTCGGGGTTGGGTTGCGGGGGTGCTGTCAGCGTGGTCGGCTCCAAGGGCTGTTTTCCTGCCCCTTGAGGCTAGCTCCTCTCGATGGGTGATGGTATGGCGATGCGCTGGGCAAGGGAAAGGCTTGACTGCGCGCGGCGCTTGGAAAGTTTTAGTGGCGCTTGCCGTCAACGCCTGGGGATGCGGGGAGCCCGCTTTCAAGCTTCTAAAGACGAATTTGTCTTTCGAGGGTACCTTCAGCAAAGGACAGCAGGACCGCTTGCAGATCTGCTGGCGGGCGTCGGTGCTTGCCATCCCGCAGCCTCGCAGGGGGGGAGGGTGCTTTGCTTGAAATTGCCTTCAAGAAACCAAGCGGGCCCTTGCAACCCACAGACTCGCAGGGCCAGGCGGTGCACACGTTCGGATTTTCGAATTTGGGACCGACGGCGCGTTGGAAGCTCGTGCGATGCCGTCGATCCGTTGGATGGGACGGCGATCTGAGATGGAGATCGGGGGCCCGGGAGGCGAAAAATGAACGGCGCTGGAAAAGGGGCGCTGAATGCGGAAGCCATCCGGCCGTCGATCGAGGCATCGAACGAGGCATCGCGACAGAATTTGGCGCAGGGGGGGCTCTTTTTGCGGCGATGGTGGGGGTGGGTAGGCTGGGTGGGATGGGAGGCGCGGGGCGCCTGGAAGGGAAACGCAACCAGCTGCCTCTCAGCTGCCTGGCTCACGTTGACCTCTCGGGGCCCGATGGTCAGCAGTTTGGGCATCGCGGCCCTGCGAGAATTCTAATTTCGAAAGCGGGGTCAAGAGGACGGGGCCCGTCGGGATGCTGGAAAGGTCAACGCAGGCACTGGCCCTTGGTCGACTGTGCGGTGCGGCAGGAGGGGCTCGAGTTTCAACTGGGCGTGCTTCTGGGGGTGTTGGATCGCGCGGGTGGCACGGACGCGGCTGGTTTGGGGCAGCGCGGCCGACTGAGACGGCAACGGCGTCGCACATTCTTCCATCCACATTTTATCCAAATGGATATCAACTTTCAACCACCACACAAACGCCCTGATTTCCTAAGTATGTATTTTAAATGGAAAGCACAAACTTCATGTGCACGGTGTTCAATGTTTGTTTATTGATAAATGTGAAATATATACTGTAACATATTATGACGAATACTGCAATTGGGCAGAACGCAGAGCACCGTCGTTTTGGAAAACGAAGTGCCTGAGAACAATTGGCATTCAAACGTTGCGCAAAGTTTGAGCGAATTGTCATGCATGTACCAAAATCGCACACCAGACTTCTGGACAAATTGCTGGTCACTCCAGCGTTGAAAACTGGGAAAATATATGTGTCAATTTGTGGACTAATTTAATAATTACTTGCAAACCATCTGATGACAAGAAAAATTATCAGCAACGCCGAAGTGTATTTTTGGTTGGCGTGCATGTTCAAAGCACTCCATTTCTTGATTTCGATGGCAGACCTGCACAACGCATGTACACAATTGCCTCACGGAGCAACTGTGGCTTTTTTTCAATGTTCCTTCTCAAGCGGTCTCATCCGGTTCGTGTGCCTGCAGAATCGTAGGTAATCGTAGTTAAAGCCATGTGGCGCATCATGCTGATCGCGGTAATGTTCTCTACGGCCGTTGAGGTTGGCATATCTCGCGGAGCTGTGAAGATCGTTCGAGAAGTCAGGACTAAAAAGGAGGTGAGCTGGCGACTATGGTCTGAGTGCTTCGTTGACTGATCGATTGCACATGTGTCGAGTAATTAGTAATCAACAAGTTTGAGCCGAATTCCACACGTCATGTGCACAGATAGGACGTAGAGGAGACACCACTCTTGTGTGTTAAACCGCTTGCATATCAACGTAGCGTTTGGCTTTCTTTCGCGAGAAAAACAACCAAGTAAACAACAATCTATCAATAAGATTTGTGCGCAGCCACGTAAGAATAGTGAAAATAACGCTCCGAAAAACAAACGCGCAACAAAAAGCGTAAAAATAAAATTCTTTGAATATGCTACAGTATTTTGGCGATGGCAGGCTTGGTGACATTCGACGCCATTTGGTGACATGATAGCTACTTCGATGCCATCGCAATCCCTGCGGTGGCGTCGGCTGACGCCCAATGGCTTTTCAGCTGGCGTCGCAAAATTGGTGCATCTTCTACTGTACGTGAATGCGCACCCGTGGCGTTTACGCCAATAGTGGTGTACGCGAAAAAAGCGCACAGAGTATATACCAATGTATGCTACTTCTTGGTGCATATTGTGTACAGCGAATACTAGTGTACGTGAATATGCACATGCGTATGACAATCTGGCAGCAGGTTGGCCGGCGGGAAAGCAAGTCAACGCTTCGAAACCGTGCCTTATATTTCAGTTCGATTGATTTGAATCTCGAGAGTCGCAGGAAAGGGGCCGGCAATCTGAGTTGTCGATGTCAGCTTAAGGGGTGGGAGGCATGCCAGTGGAGCAAGTATTTCGCCTAATATATTAGGCCTAATGTATTCACACCGCCCCGATCAGTTTACCGTATTTGCATGGAAATAATATTACTGCCTGCACCAAATCGGTGACTACTTGCACCAAATCACGTGAACATTATGTCCTAACCTCAATTTTAGGGTTAGGTGTAGTTTTAGGGTGAGTTTTAGGGTTAGGCTTAGGTTTAGGGCAGGTTTAGTTTTAGGTTTTAGGTTTTAGGTTAGGTAAGTTTTGGAGGGAGTTGGTGCAAGCAGTCACCAATTTAGTGCAGAAAGTCACCGATTTGGTGCAGCCACTAATTGTATGCCTGTGACATGGGGGTTACGTGAGTGGCGGGGCTCTCCGAGTCGGGGGCTGTGGGCATGCGTTCCCAGGTGGGCCCGTGGCTGCGCCCGAGGGCGGCCGACGGCAGGCGCGCGGCTATCGGTGCGGCTGCTGCGGCTCGCGGCGACCACTTGCGCTCGAGGCGCGCTTTCCCTGCGCGATCCCGCGTCGTCGCGGTGGTCTCGGAAAGTCGTGATTGTGTCTGGATGTGATGGCGATGGTGCGGTGTCAGTCCGACAAGTGGCCTCACTGCACCGGGCGCCACTTCCAAATCGCAACGGGGGTTAGAGGCGCGGCATTCTGAAGCCGTTCCCATGGCGCCCAGCACCCGACCGTGCTCGTCGCCTGTTCCTTTCTTCCGATCATGTGGGCGCATCCGAGGCCGTGCACCGTTGTTCCAAACTTCCGATAATCTGGAACGTCAAGCCGAAGCTTAAGTTGCCTTCCGCGTGTGACTGTCCCGCGAAACGGCTCTAGATCCCCGCGATGGCGCTTAGGGGTAGCCATCGGCGTGGCGAACTCTGCGCGGAATGTGATTGCCGTATCGTACGCCTTGCTGCCCAGGGCCAAGGGGCCCAAGGGCGGCACAAGGACGGGTCGTTCAGCTGTGGGTCAAGAGGGAATGTCGCGATCGGGAAGGGTGCAGCAAGTGCCGCATCCAAAGAGGGATTCCTTGGGGAAGGGGCGAAACCAACAATCCTGCGCTGCGTTCTGGCGATGGTGGGGAATTCCATCGCTGAAAGCGGTAGGATGGAGGGCATCTCCGTGGAGCTTTTAGAGGTACACTCAAGGGCGGCCGACGGGAGGGGCGCGGCTATCGCTGTCGTAGCTGCCGTGCTCGGCGCCCGCTTACGCTCGACGCGCGTCTTTGACGCGATGCCGCATCATTGCGACGGCCAGGGCCTATGGCCACAGCGGCGATGGCTCGCGTCCCAAAACCCAATGGTCGAAGCTGCAGCCCACGACAAGGGCTCCTCGTGCAGCATAGCGGGAGCAAACTCACGCGGCGGTGCTGTGCAGACCTCGGCGCAGCGACAGTGGCAAAGGACATGGCGAAGAACGTGACAAGCGAATCAACAGGGAATGGAAAACATCAACAGCGCAACAGCGCAGCCCAGCCCGGCCGGCGAGTCGGTGGCTTTGCACAGAATAGGACAGAAACGAAAAGTTGCAGAACGTCGGGCCCGAGGCCCGACTTGTGGATTGGTACATATATTGTGCCGCCTGGTTGTATTCTTCATTTTCTGTTTTATGTCATATGGGCGCTGAGCGCGCAACACATTTGCCCATATGCCCTTTTAATTGAGTTTTAATCTGCAATGGTAGAAAACGGCATGTTTGCGATGCCAACTGCGATGCCATTTTGACACAAAATGATGCCATCACAGTGATTGCGATGGCATAAAAAGTGGCTGTGATGGCGTCAATTTGTGTCAAAATGGCATCACAAGCATGGTGTTTTCTACTAGTGCTGTCTCTTTGTGCGTTTGCTTGTCAGTTTGCCTGCTCACTGGCCTGCTAACCTCCTTGTTGATTCATAGTGGTGTAGTGAATAATGCATTTGATTCAGAGGAAGTCGAAATTTGCACACTCTTCTGAGGTGTAGTTAACAAGCTCTGACCAAAAATGCATTTTTGATGCACTGTCTCCAGAAAAACTTTTCTCGGGGCCTGTCAGCGGTCCACAGGGAGCAGGCAAACCACCAGTGCTCCGCCGTTGTGATCAGTCAGCGCTTTGCGCTGACGATCTCAACGTGCCTCGACGGCGCTGGGAATTTCCTGTCTGTGGATATCTTCCAGCCGAGAGACCATGCGGTGAGCGGCAATGTACTGGCAGTAGATTGCACAATACAGTACTGCGATTAGTCCAGACGAAAGAGCAGTCGGCTGCTGAGTCACTCTGCAGCGCGGTACAGTATTGCGACAGAAGCTGTATACAAGGCACAATCTTTTGTGCACACTCCAGAATCTGATAGATGAGCGTGCTGCGGCTAACGTGGTGTAATTGCGGGTCCACTTGTGCATCATTCCAACTATATGCTGTCCCCTTGACGGCACATGAACAACATTGAAGCAGGCTCATGATCAAGGCAAGCCCGCACATGCGCTTCTCCACAAATAATCGGAAACACATTCCTATCAAGTTCAGCAATCAATTTCGATGCCTATTGGAGTCTCTTGCTTACCATTATGAATTCCAGAATGCGTGTCTCCTCATTCATTATCAGAAAGCAACACTAAACCTGCGGTGGCTTTCTTCCTGTGCTGACGTAGAACTTTCCAGCGATGACGCAGCAATCGACCCAACGATGTAGATGCTGTGTATATTTTGGGAAAGTAAATAATAGGAAAATAATATTTATTACTGATTCAAATTCTCAAAAGTTCCGTCGGTGTCCTGTGTACTGAATGTCGCCTGGAATGCTGAGCATGAAAATCGCAATTTTACGGATGCATGCTTGAGACACGTTTTAACAACATGATAAACGTACTGCATGTACTTTGTACATTTGTGTAGGCGCGACATCCATAACTGCAGAAATTGGACCAGAAACAGTTGTGCTTATGTTAACTTATCCGTTTGATCGCGGATTCGACATTTATGCATGTATGCATATGTGTGCATGCATCTGATGATTCCGTACAAGCTGATTCAACTTGTCTGATATATTTCAAGCTTTGAAATGCACAATAAAGGCAGATTTACAGTGCGCATGAAACTGTTCGCAGACCACGCCATTATGCACTATTTTAGGTGACGTAAATGTGTGCATTGCTGCTGATATTACGCTGACGTAATCAACGGCAAATGGTGACCAGAATTTCAGTCAAGATGACGACAACTTCCACCAGCTGGTGAGGAGAGACGAAGCGGCGAGGCGTTCAACACATCCAGCCGACGCGCCTGACGTCGTTCTGATAAAATTGCCACGTCCCATAGACGTCCCCCGCCCGGCGTTCAAAAATCGTATTGGAAACATCGGAAGCATCGAAGACGTCGACGATGAACACATTTGGGGCGCCGGAAAAGTTTCCAGCGGCGAAAATATCCTAGTTAATATCGCTAATGGGGACGAGATATTTGTGCCCGACGCCTGGCGGCCTGGAGAGTACTGGAAGCTGAGAGCCGGCCGTTTGGAGGACTGCCCGGGCACGTGGGAAGGTGGAGAGAAGCTGGCGTGTGCGCTCTGGACGGGACCGAGCATGGGCGCAAGTGGGTTTCTGGCGTTCGCGAGCGATGGGGCGCCGCACCAAATTTGTTGCATGCAGTGGTGAAGCGCGGGGGAATGAACGTGCCTGCCATCGCTTAACCAAACACCAGAGATTTTCGGCACACGGAATAGCACATCTATGAGGGGGTTGTTCGTATTTTGAAAACTTCTGTGACGCATTGAAGCAAGCCGAAACAAGAAACGTGATGGCAACACAAGACAACACAAGACACGAATGCGCACATGAAAACGATTATGAAAAAGTAGTGCAACATTAAATGAACAAAATGAAAAATCTGGGCCAGCGAGGTGGGCATCCATGCTTGATATCAACTATAATGTGGCCTTGTGCCGTTGGTTATCTCGTGCGCTACGCACCTCGTGACCAGTGGGCGCTGCGTTTCTTCAGCTCCGTCATGAATCGGTGTGGTAGCGGTTCCTGCCACGGTCGCATCAAGTGGTTAAGATGGCCACCGAGACTGAAAAAAGGGTTCTCCAAGCCTGTATCTGGTCCAGAGCATTGTCCAGCCTGTGTTTTGTGCACGCTTGGGGCCTAGAATTGGATTTTGATGAACGTGTTCAACTTTTATTGAATATGATACAATTCGATATACAGTGTTATAATGAAGTCATTATTCAGTGCATGAAATAATGCTGATGGATCGCCGACCGTTCATTTGCAATGTGTTCTTGCTTGCGACATGTTCTCCAATATGTTAGGGCGTCTTGGTGTTCATTTTCAGTTTATTCAACTCACAATATGATGGATATCTGAACTACATAATACTTTTTGCATTCCGTATAAATTACATCTAAGTTGCATTTCATTTAGCTCACACAGTATTGCATGGATCCAATGCAGGTTTTCTTGGAGGGCCGGTATATAAGAAGAGCAAAGCCAAAAAGTGTGTGTTTGGCTGTGGGCGCGTGGAGCCAGATGACTACGTCATTTCTGGAATCATAAGGCATGTGGGGGAAGCTTCCGACGGCAGACATTATGCCGTCATCGTAAATATCTCCTTCGCTCTTAAATGGCTTCACGAGGTCATCAGGCGACAGGCGAGTGGCTATTCGAAATCCGTTCAATGGCAACAGGATATTTTCAGTAATTTTTTTTGCAATTTCGGAGTAAACTCGTAATCAATTGCCCAACCATGATATGGCTATTGAAGCCTAATAACTTTTTAGCACCACTGGTGTGATGTGGGTTCTTTCTCAAAGGTTGTGAGGTCAGTGTATGCCGCTAGAAAGGGGAGCCTGCCTGACTTTTTGAGTTCAGCAGATACACGTAACACGAACAGTGTGTCCAGTTTTTGAGGTTGCCGTTAATGATGTTCATTCATTCATTCACCCACTGTTGTGGCCGTCGTGGATTTTGCTCGTGGCAACAGAAGGAGTGGTCCATCGTGCCTCCGGGGCGCCTGCCAGGGCTCACGCTTATCAAGAATCCCAGCCCAACGTCCAAGGGCTGCGTGGGCATGCTGATCAAGGACCAGTTCATCTTGACGGCGGCCCATTGCGTCGAGGGCCCTGGCGCCAACCCCATGGTGATCGTGGGGGCCACCAGCGTCGAAGGTCCCCACGCTGAGCACGGAGGGCAGGTAAGCGCATTTGTCTCATACGTCAGAGGTAAGGACTCTCCTCTGATGCATGGCGACGACATTGCAATATCGCTGCCGTGTCGATCACAAACAATTGTGGGTTTCGTCACACCATGGCCCACCAGTGGGATGTGCATATGGTGGGAGTGATTGTTGGAACAATTGGAATTCAAAACCCGTGGATTGTCTCCTTTATTACCTTTTGCCATCATCGCTGTGTTCACCTGTTGACCATGCTGCAGGAAGTGCGGACGGAGATGACATTCGTGCACCCGCAGTGGACGGGAAACGTGGAAGACGGCCACGACCTTGCATTACTAAAGCTGAACCGAAAGCTCAACGCCTCGTCGCCGACCCTCGTGGACCGCAAGCACGAAGGAATCCCCAGCAGCACGCGCCTGGGATCCCAGGTGTTCGGCTTTATGTTGGGAAGCAACCTGGAAACTGCTGCGTTCAACGTCGTGAGGAGCAGTGTATGTCCGGGTTTGGCAAATCTGGAGGACCACGTGTTTTGCGCGCATTCTTACCATGCTTGCCTGCAGAGCGGTGAGTTGTTCAGCAACAAGGGGGCGCCACTGCTTCGTGGACTGTTATTCGATTGACGCATTCATCACGTGATGTACTTGAGTGCAAGTGCACCTCATTTGATGCGGACGTCGAGCAACGCAAGGCCGATTGGTGTACACACAATACGTATTGCAATTGCGATCTCATTATTGTGGCTACCTCTTGGCATATTTATAGAGAGCGTCAGCAATTTCAAGTAGTGTTACATTCTGGGTTGGTTTGTTGGACGGCTTGGGAAACAACGCTGCACAGGGAATGAAAATTGCGCGGATTTTAACTACATAGTCCCAGAAATTGCTTATTGTCGTCGTTTTTGGGCAGAATTCTTGATAAATGGTACACATGGTGTAAAACGTGCACAAAGTATACAGAGTGCTCACGTACTGCAGTACAAACTATACAAAATACATAGAGAGTTGTACCACTACTCCCCCCAGAAAAGTGTTGAACGACGTGTTCCAAGCAACGCAAGACGTGCGCATTCGCACTGTTATTCACTACGTCGTTCTTCATCACAATTTACTATGCTTGAAGGATTAAATTCTTGTCAACCTCTCCCATATTTGTGCACAAACCACAAAAGTATGTAGAAGTTGGCGAGTCGATCGTCCAGTTGACTTCAAAAGAGCTCCAGCCCTGTGGCACTAAGGAGTTACAACATTGCAGCCAAGAAATAAAACAAGCAAAGAAAGACCCCAATCGCCGCTGGTCATTAGAAATCGATTCATGAGCGAAATTTCGCTCGAAAGTGGCTGGGCGTTCCATACCACCGCTTCCAAGATGCTATTCATCAACCCACTGCAATATCTGCTGCGACGACTGCTCTACTTCTTTAAAGAGTTCTCTGTGTTGCATTGTCGTAACGGTGTCGACAACAGAACCGAGACTCAGGGGAGGGGGCAGGACCGTTATACTTCAAAATGCAGTCAAGCCGAGAGCATCCCGTACGAGCACGTTTGTGCGAGCATCTGTTCACGATGTGCTAAGGTGATTTAGGCCTGGTGGTGCTGGATGATCCAGGTTATGCTGGAAGTTCTATTATTATGCTCGATGGAATGTATCGATAACAAGGGCCCTGGGAATGATTTCACATTATTTCGGACGTAAAATCATAATCTCTAAGAGTGGAAAAATACATGGCATATATTTGTACACATATGTGGCACGTGACATGTCATTTCAGCGCATCTGACATATGGCTTATATTTTAACAGCTTTGCGTTGATTGGGATTGATTTATGGTCTATGTTTCTTATGTAATTCAGGAAGCTCTGGTGGACCTTTTCTGATATTCGATGGGAATTTAACTCACGGAGATCCGAGGAATGATTTGCTAGTTGGCGTGGTGTCCTACACCAACTACTCCAAAAAGAATAGTGGCATCGGATCCGCTGACGTGAGCGATTCTATTGAATGGGTATATGAAGTCATTGATGGCCGTGATTTGGTGGGTACATTCTCAGGCGGGCACCTAACGAAACGTCCATGTTAACTATGCAGGAGCTTAACAAGATTCAAAACATTACTGTAATTGCAGTTCAGAGATATGAAATATGATAGTTTTTTATTTATTGCAATTATCATTCAGTGGTAGATATTTTTGGTTTCTACAAAGCAGCAACATCCGAAAACTGATGATCTATTGTCAGCGGCACGATTGAGTTGGCGGATGGTGCCATCGGTGACCATTTTTTGAATGCATTTATAGAGGTAAGGTATGCTATGCATGGATTGAATTTTGGCATCTAAAATCGCAAATTATTTCGACCATCAATATTTTGCAAGCATTGAGTGGAGAAAACATCCATATAATATTTGGCTGCCATGGCATAGGCGGAAGCAGATGACTGTAAATCCAGTAACATTAAAAAATCACCAACTGTGCGCGGGATCATCCATTGCAGCTCTCCGTCAATATTTCATTTCTGGACGCTATTAACATGGCGTTGTGTTGCACCCATTCATGAAATTTGCGACATGCGTTGGGCAATTGTTGTAGCATTACTGCATTGTTTTATGTATTGTTATTGATATTATTTTCCCATTACTGCTTTTTCATTGTTGGTGATGTATCATCCACGGCAGGAAGTTCCCTGCTGCAGGGTTAGCGATGGTGATATATAACAATGAAGATTTTGCTTATAATTGCCTTTATGCTATCCCCAACAATATGCCCTGAAAGTTCAATGCGCAGGTACTAAAACCTACTACATTTTCTTTCAATTCTAAATAAATACTCACATCTCAAACATCAAACGTTATTATATGTTTTAATTTTGTAGTATTGCAGGAAGGAAACATATAACTAACTTTCGTGCAAAATGTCGGTAAGGGGGTCATGGAAAACAACAAAACATGCATTTTGCGCACAAGCAAAATACAAGAAACACACCACAACAACGAGCTTACGCACAAACAGGGCATTTTTTGACGGACAATCTTGAGCACAACCGTTTTGCCCAAAGAATCATATAATCGCGATGTTGCGCACAAGCGCACCCTTTCGGACCTTACCGACATTTTGCACGAAAGCTAGTTATATCACATTCTTTGATGTGTCGAATTGATTTGAATTGCCAATCAGATTGCTGTCACCCAGCCGCGCTACCCAATATTCGCGCGGACTTTGCCTCCTCAATACTGTATATATTATGTATGTAATTGGAGAGACAACTGAATAGATGGGTTTAATTTTCCAGCGAATTTGGAGATATCACAATTAAATAAACCATCGTAATAAAATGTAATGACAACTGATGCAATGCGCGGGACTATTGCTGTGACAGAAATCATCTTTGAAACGGCACCTACGACTTTTCGGGATGCCCTCATGCATTATATTCATGGTAAGTAGATTTTAAATTTCTGTTTTCGTGTTTTGCAAGTCGCTGATTTGCTTGCTTGAACAGATGAATTATCTGATTTTGATTCACTTCAGTCAATTATCATTCGATATTAAAATTCGGATTTAGATAATTTGATCAAAGCATCGTATATAAAATGTCGTTGGACCACAAATAAGAAGCAAGGATAAGAGATAAGTGATGTAACCTCATGCCTTGATGCGTTAAGTTACGTCACCCAATGTCGCCAGATCCCTGGGGAGCTGCCACACCATAGATATTCTCTTAATAAAATCTGTGCAAGTCTTAGCACTTATAGTACTTGGTTGTGCTGCCCGCCCTCAAGAGATGGTCGCTATCCTGTTTGAAGAATGAATCAACTTTTCCAGAGGCTGCTTTGCATCAAATGCATATTTTAGGGGCATGAGTTATTTACCGCGCCAGCAACTGTATGAGCACAACTGGGGGCGAACGGTGCGGTACATTGAACTCTTTGATGTTTGCCATCAAGAATGCGCATCTAACTCGCGTCTTGCTTCTCTGCAGTTGCTGCCTTTCGTTGCTTTGCATCCGCAAGCGGTGAGCAGGATTGACCACGATGCAGAACACCACATTGTTCCGTTCAAACAAGCCCTTTATTTACATTTACGGCACCATTTCCGCCTTCGCAATTTTGAGTACAAAAGCGCGTAAATAGATAAATGGTAATTTTTGTGGCCACATTTACGCGTTTTTGCGGCTAGTCAACACACCCAGCTTGCATGATTATGCAACAAACAATGACCAGTTCGACGTTATCGAACACCCACAGCACAGCGCCCATGTCGCCCTCGGCAAGGGTAAAAACGTCTTAGGCGGAAAAAAGGTCGTTTTCTTCCCACCCCCGACTGGGGGGTGACTGGATGCCACTCCCCGGACCCACTGAGTATGCGCATACTGTCCTTATGAACATGCTGCCTATTTTTAACCATTTTCTGGCTGCTTGCGTGCAAAAAGGTAAAATCAATTTTAGGCCTAAATAGCCGTAAATAGAAAGTGTTTTTCTCGCAAGTAACAAGGCTGCACTTAAGTTCTCTGCTTCGGAAGTGCATTACGTCATGTAGAGCTCCTGCTCCTCGTCGCGTGGAAAATGCGCCCAAGATCTCAGTGGGCAGCGCAGGGAAATCGCGCTGTTTCTGACTAGTGCAGGTTCAAAACTGCCCTACGTGGGGGAAATTTGCACACCCTGGACACTATCAATGTCATGGCCATGTTCTGCATATATGCGCACATCGTAATATCGAATACACTGCGTAATATCGGAAGACCCAATTAGGATGTCGAACACGATGCATCTTATTTGATATTCAGGATATGGGGATAGATATGGGCCCCCATATGCTTTTCAATATCCAGTATATGAGATTTCCTAATCAGGATCTCGGGTGCATATGTGTATTGCAGTAGCTACGAACGCACATTGCCACAGGTCGGGGCAAGGCACTTTCCCGAGCTGATGAGGGGCGGGGGGGCAAATCGAAGAAAACATGTCATTCAAAAGGCTCTGCCTCCCAAAGCAAATGAATTTGGAAAGGCTTTTCCTGCTGTAAGAGATGATGTAGAGCCTTCCTAGCGGGGAGAAGCGCGCAACAAAAGCGCCACAAATATCGAAAATATACACCATGGGGAGGGCCAAGAAAGGGAATAATGTCACATGCCCCAATGCCATTCTGCATCGATTCCCTACGCCAAAGCAACGGGAAATTCTGCTTTCTTTTAGCCGTTTAAGTCACTGTGCGATTGCCGCTTGCCGCCAGAGTCTAATTCTGGCCCACAGCAATCGCTGCCTGTGGCCTGTTAATGTATCACGTGTGCCCATCGCCTTGTCTGCAGCAACGCATGTGTGCCGGTTGGCACCCGGTCGTCATGACATGTCGTGGCGACGCAGGGCGCATGGAGGTGCGCACAGTGCTTAATGCACAATAAACCTGCTTGGGTGCAAAATGAACCATATTGCAATCGTATCTGTGTATTAATTCAGCAGATGTATTCACATGTTTCCAATTACGCTG